TCCCTCATGGTGACAGAATTGAGGTACAAATGCGTGAGTTTAGTCCTGCTGCTCATGAAATGCACCCAGGAGCTGCTGATGCTCCACTGGCAGTGCTGGCAGTGCCCCCGGGGTTCTGAATATCCCACAGAGCCAGGCACGGGGAATTCTGCTCACCAACATAGCAGGCAGCCCGGCACTGGAAGGTGGGGAAGATGCTCCAGGACTCCTTGTGCTGCCACATACATGCCCTGGTTGTGCCCTGCCTGTGAAGGATGAGGGGGGCAGTGAAGTCCCCCAAGATGGGCTGGTTTACAGGGTGCTCCATCACTGCCGTGGGGCTGGGAATGCTGGGGACCCCCGGCACAGCCTGGCTCCTGCTCTGGATGCTCAGCAGTGTGGAAACCCCAGAGGAACACAGTCGGATACAGTGAGTGGGGATGTTTGTACCTGAAATACCCTGGCCCTGCAGGGCCAAGGGGGTCCTTAGAAACCTGCAGCTCTGGCTTTAGGGGAGGTTTCAGTCTGTGGTGTGGCCAGGGCTGTGTGGAACAGCAGGGACCCCAAGCCTGTGCAGCGCAGATCACATGCATACAGCTATAATTTTAGCTGTGATGTGCTCGGTGAGGCTCCGAAAGTGCTGCTTTGTCTCAGGAATGCCTAAAAATAACGGTTGGTTACCAAATGGCTGCTGCGCGAGCCCAGAGCCTCCCCCCAGCCCCAGAGCCCCGTGTGCTGCTGCTCCTCACTCACTGCCAGCAGTGTCACGGCTCCGGGTACCTGGCACAAGGTGCTGGCAGCGGCCCCGTGCTGATGGATCCAGCTCCCCCGGGAGCTCTCCATGGAGATGGGAATGATTCACATTAGGTGATCACCAACTGCGGCTGTGAGCAGGGCTTGTCCTCATCCAGCCCCAGGGGCAGTAGTTTGAGGTGCTGCAGTGGGTGCTCAGTGCCTCTGCCTGACCCTGACATGGGACAGGGACAATTGCTGTCTGTGCCCAGATGCCTGGTGTTCTTTGCTGGGCTGGGCAGAGGCTGTGTTATTGTCCAGCTTGTCGCTGGTATAGAATGCTAGGATGGTTTGTGTTGGAAGGGAGCTTGAATGTCATGGAGTCCCAGCCCCTGCCACGGGCAGGGACCCCTTCCACTGGAGCAGCTTGCTCCAAGCCCCTGTGTCCAACCTGCCCTTGAGCACTGCCAGGGATGGGGCAGCCACAGCTTCTCTGGGCACCCTGTGCCAGCGCCTCAGCACCCTCACAGGGAAGAGCTTCTGCCTAAGAGCTCAGCTCAGTCTCCCCTCTGGCAGGTTCAAGCCATTCCCCTTGGCCTGTCCCTGCAGGCCCTTGTCCCAAGCCCCTCTCCAGGTTTCGTGCAGCCCCTTCAGGCACTGGAGCTGCTCTCAGGTCTCCCCTTCAGGAGCCTTCTCCTCTCCAGGCTGACCCAGCCCAGCTCTCTCAGCTTGACTCCAGAGCAGAGCTGCTCCAGCCCTTGCAGCATCTCCATGGCCTCCCCTGGACTCGCTCCAGCAGAGCACAGTGGCACAGGGATGGCTGAGGCCAGTGGGACACATGGAAGGGAAGGCCCTGAGTGATCTCTGCCTTGATTAAACATGGGGAGACAATTCCAGCCCCTGTAGCTCAGGTGAAGGAGCTGGTACCCAGCACTGTGTGACGAAGAGCGGTGCCTGCACCCTCTCTGCGGGCTCAAGAGCTGCTGGCATAAATTACCACGTTGTCATCCCTGGAGCTGAGATTCCCAGAGAATAGCTTAGCGGTTCAAAGGGCTGCTGAAGCAATTTCACACAGCATAATAACAGTCCTTGAGCTTTCCCGTTAAAACCCATCAACAAACCCATGGCTCTGGCAGCTTGGCTGCCTGCTGGCTCTGGGGTCAGCCCTGTCCTGACACCCTTCACAGGGAGGAGGGTTCTAAGTGACAAATTAGCCTAATGAACCCACAGCATCTCTGTTGTGGTGAGGAGCCCTGGTTTGTGCACCCCCATCCCGTGCTGCAAGCGTCACTGCTCCGTCCGCCTGGCCCCCGTGCTGGTGGGAAATGGGACCTGGGAGGTGGAAAGGGGCGTAGGTGCTGCTGGTGGGGCTGGTGGCACTCACCCTGCCTGGTGAGAACACAGCCCGCTAACCTGCTGCATCAGCAGCTTTGGCTCAGCCAGAAGATGGGAGAGCATCCCGAATTCCCATCTCTGGTGAGTGATTTCAGTGCCTGGCTGACGGAAAACCTTTGGCCAACTGGGACCAATAGGGGCTCAGTGTGGGAGAGGTGTTTCTGCTCCCCAGAGAGCCCCATGCACCAGCATCCTGCCCTGGCTAGGGCTGTCCCCTTGCTGCAGGTTTGTGCCCCTCTCCCTGTCCCTCTCACAAAGCTCTAATTCATGCTCCAGGAGGCCAATGATTTCTAAAGCAGGAAATCAAAAGCATTTCCAAAGCCCAGCTCCTGCAGCCAGGGAGGCAACGGGCAGCTTCCACCCGCCTTTACTTCTTGCAAGCCCTGAAGTGCTGACGAGCAGCGAGGGAAGTCACCGCGCTCCATCGGGATCACCCTCCTGGCGCGGCACAGCCCTGGTTAAAGGGCCCTTTATGGGGAGCACACGTGGAGCTGCCGACACTTGTAACGCACACGGCTTGTGCCTGTGATTCCCAGCCCCCGGAATGAGCGCGGCGCGTGGATCCCGCCGGAGCTGGGCTCCGGGCACTTGCGGCTCTGCAGCTTCCCGTGGACCTTATCTGCATTTTTACATAATGCTGCCAGGAGCCTCGCAGAGGAGGCGGCGATGCGGGAGCTCCGGGCGCAGGGAGCGCGGCTCCGCGGGGCCGGTTCCCCGCCTGCACCACGGGACTGGGGAAAGCCGAAACGGATCAGGTGCCTGGTGGGCTTCCAGAGCTGTTTGCTCCTGGAGCCGGTTACTGCTGAGGGATTCGCAGCAGGGAGAAGATGCTTTTCCCTCTCAGCAAATACGAATTCATCTAGTGTGCGTTCCCAGGCCTGGTGCATGCTATGGATTGAAGATGAGGATGGGGCAGTGCTGGGCTAGCTGCTGCTGTTGGGATGTGGGCTCCTGCTCTTCTGCTTCCCAGCCCACTTCCATGTTTATTAAACACTTCAACGGAGAGAGAAGAAATCACTGCAATTAAAATACTTGGAAACCCTGGGAAACCTTCACTGCAGGCAAAGTCCCTGCCTCGTGGTCTGCCTCAGGGGGAGTGATGGACACCGCCCAGGGCAGAAGGGGCACACTGCAGATGCCTTAGGATCGATGGAAGTAAATGTCACGTGCAAACACCAAAGCTCACTCTGGTTCAGAGAGGTTCCCATGTCTGCTCCAACCTCATGACCTGGCAGTGGGATTTTCCATATCACCTAAGGGGGGTCCCAGCTAAGCCAGCACTTTCTGCCCCAGCTGCGTGCTTTGACCCAGCAGCAGAGGCTGTGGTGGTGGAACAGGATGTGGAACCTTCTTGATGGCTGGAATAATGGGAAACAGGAGAGGCCTGGCCAATGGAGGGGGTCAGCCATACCGGTTGGGAAAGTCCTGGAGATAAGGAGGTGTGAGGGCAGCAAGAGGCTCTCCTTTGCCCCTGTCCCGAGCTGCTTTGCCCCAGTCCAGCATTAATCCGGTGCCTGGTGGTGCTCAGGCTGTATCCCTTGGGGAGTGATGGGTGCATGTTCCAGGGAGTACCCAGGCCAAGCAACTCCATCCTGGAGCCAGCACCCTTCCCAATTCCAGTTCCCTCCTGTTGCCGTGGCAACCCATGACCTCACTGCATTCCTTGGAGATCTGCCAGCATTTTCGGTGGAAACAAAGCTAATTAAGAGGGTTTTCCTGATGCCCTCCCTGTCTGCAGGGGTTGGGGACACTCGGGGCTGGTTCCCCTGCCAACGCAGGCAGGCAGCTGCCCGTGGGCAGCAGGGTGCCTGTATTACCTCACAGCCACCTCTGGTCCCACACGTGCCCTTCATCGTGGTGTCTGACCGACCCAAAACAGAACAGGAGGAGATGGAACAAGGGTCCTCTCTCCTCTCCCACATGTGACATGGGGGAGCGGCTGCGGAGTTACTGGGGTGCCCTAGTGGGAGGTGGGGATGGGAAGGGGGAGGATGGTGATGAGCATTCCTGGTCCCCCTGCATGCTTGAGGGCCTGCAGCTTGCAGGGACCAGATCAGCTCCATGCTCCTGAGAGGGTGCAGGCTGCGTGTGGGTCCCACCGAGGGGAAGGGCATAAGTGGGGATGTCCCATAGTCAGCAACATGTAGGGCAGGACACGGGGATGGTTCCTGGGATGCAAGAGAGCTGGTGCCTGAGCTTGCAGTGGATGCTGTGGGTCTCTATTAGCCTCTGATTAGACCCAGGGCTCTCACTGGGTCTGGGGGTCCCTCTTAGCAGCTCCTGCTGTGCCCAGGAGTCCTGTCTGTGCTGGGGGTTCTGCGTGTCCCAGCGGTCCCTCGTGGTTCAGGGGTCTGGCTGTGCCTGGGGGTGCCTCTTGACTTGTGGCTGCAGCCGTGGGCAGGATTCCCTGCTGACACAGGGGTCCTGTATGCTGGGGGGTCCCCTATGCCCAGGGATCCCTCTTGGCCTGGGGGTCCAGCCACGGGCAGGGTGGACTTGGGGGTCCTGCGTGCCCGGGGGTGCCTCCTGGCCCCGGGCTCCCGCTGTGCCCTGGGGTCGTGCCTGCCCCGGGGGGGTCCCTCTCGCCTTGCGGGTCCCGGGGCAGGTTCCCGCTGTACCGCTCCCCCGCGGCCCGGAGGGGGGCGGCCCCGGCAGCGCGGCGCGGCCACCCCCGCAGCCGGCGGCAGGGCCAGGGCCAGCCCCGCAGCGGCTCGGTTCGGCTCGGCTCGGCTCGGCCCGGCGCTGACGGGCTCCCGGTGCCGCCGGCGGCTCCGGCGTCACATGACCCGCCCGTCTGCGGGAGTCGCGGCTCCGGGACGCGGCGCTGCCCCGGCGCCGCGGGAGGCGAGGAGCTGCGCGGGCAGGCGGCGGGGCTCGGCCGCGGCATGAGCGGCCGCGGCGGCCGCCGGCTCTCCGGGGGCAGCGGGCGCCGCTGATGCGGGCGCGGGGGCTGCGGCTGCTCGCCAGGGACCCGCCCGCCGGCCGCTCGGCGGGGACCATGTGAGGAGCCGGCGGTGCCCACCACGATGCAGAAGGGGATGCGGCTCAATGACGGGCACGTCACCTACCTGGGGCTGCTGGCGAAGAAGGACGGCGCCAGGAAGGGCTACCTGAGCAAGCGGAGCTCCGACAACACAAAATGGCACACCAAGTGGTTCGCGCTGCTGCAGAACATGCTCTTCTACTTCGAGACCGACTCCAGCTCCCGGCCCTCGGGGCTCTACCTGCTCGAGGGCTGCGTCTGCGACCGGGCGCCCTCCCCCAAGCCCTCCCTCTCGGCCAAGGACTCCCTGGAGAAGCAGGTGGGCACCGCGGGGGACCGGGGCCGCCGTACCCCGCACCGCACCGCCCGGGGATGGTGCCCCGGAGGGTCCCCGGGGCGGAGGATGCGGCTGGTCCGTACCGGGGATGGGGGATGCCCGGCGGGGCGCTGCAGCTCACCCCGAGCCGGGGTGGGGGGGGGGGGTTCGCTGTGGGGGTGTCTGGCTCCGACCTCCCCCCCCCCCCCCCCATGCTCTCCCCGTGCCCCCCCGGGGCTAATTAACCGCCGGTAATTGCGGCGGGGCTGCGGCGCGGGCCGCCCCCTGGCGGCCACGGTTCGCACTTAGCGCAGCCCCACGCGTGCCCGCGGCCCGGTCAGGGCTCGGTGTGGGGCGGCCCCGGCTCCCCCCGGTGCGTTCCCCCCCCCCCCCCGCCGTGGTTAGCGCTGTGCTGGGGGGTGAACCGGCCCCCTGGCAGTGCAGGTGATGGCGTGTGGGGCCGGGTGCGGGCATCATCCCCTTCGTGCTCCCCACGTGTGCGGTTTGTGCTCCCGCCGCAAACCCACTGCCAGCACCGCACATCCCGTCCCGTGGGACGCCCCTGCCCCACGCAGGGCCGGTGCTTGGTGCCAGACCTTAACATCTGCAGGTGGAAAGCACCGAAACAGTGAAGCCGCTGCGAGGCCCCGGGAGAATCCCGATCCCCCGCGGCCGCAGCACCCGCCGGGGCCGCGGGTGGGTTCCTGTGCCCTGGCTGTGCCATCCCCGGGCGGGCAGCGTGGCACGGAGCGTGGGTGCGATGTGGCAGCTTGTCTGGTGGGTGACGGTTGCGCCTGAGCTGGCAGGCAGGGATGGGGCTGGTGCCGGGTACGGGGGAGGAAGGGCTGGCTTCCAGCCGGGGGTGCAGAACCTGCCCAGCGCTGCCAGAGCTTCCAAAACCCCCTCCCGCCTCATGAGCGTGGTCAGGAGCCGCTGCGGTTGGCTTCACCCCTTGAGCACGGCGCTGGTGGTGCAGGGGGCACCGGGAACCCCTGGCGAGGAGGAGCGGGGGTGGTTCTCCAGGCTGGGGGCTGTGGGATGCTCGGAGCGGGTCCGGCTCTGCAGGGCTTGCATAATTTCTGCCTAAACCGGCTCCCGGGAAGTGCTGGGAGCGCGGCTGCGGGACAAGCCCCACGGCAACCCCCGGGTGAGGGGCAGCCGGGGGCTATGAGCCCCTTATTAACCTTTAGTTAATCACGGCCTGCTTAGTGCCCCCAAAATCCCTGCCACAGCAGCCAGGGGTGCAGCACCATCGCTCCATGGCACAGTTCCTTGCTCCTGGCTGGGAGAACGGGAATATTTCCCTGCTCAGATCAAAATAGTGTGGGTTTTATGCAAGGGCTCTGCCTCCTCTGGCTTCGGAGCAGCCTCCGGTGCATTGGCTGCGGCTGCAAGGGGGACAAGCTGCTGCCCTGTTTTCCCAGCCATGTCCCTTTAGGTAGCTGTGGAATAGATGTTCCTGCATGTTCCTGGTTCGGCTTCAGTCCAGCTTGCTGGCCAGGTTTAAACCCAGCCTCCTGCCCAGGTTTTACATCCCTCACCGTGTTCTGACTCCCAGTGTTTGTGCGGGAGGGATTTTCCAGCAGGTAAACAAGATGGGAGGATGCCACAGCCTTTCCAGTTCAGAATGCACCTGGAAGATTTATCCCCAGTGTCGGTGAGGGGCTGGGGCCATGGTGCAGCGAGATCTGGCCACACCGAACATGTACCAGGCCACTGCTCTGCGCCCATTCACCAAGGTTCAGTGTCTGGCTTGTAATTCCCTATAATTCCTTAGGACAGATGTGAGGGGAAGCCTGGGCGCTGGGGCCCGCTGCTCCGCAGGCTAATTAATGACCTATGGGTGAGATAAGCAGCAGAATGTTGATGGTGCAGATCCACAGTGGGGTCTGCAAGGAAGCGTGCGGAGCCGGCGGGGTTCCAAGGGGAAGGTGCCCGCGTTCTGCACCCCAGCAAGGCTCCTGCCAGCCCGGTTGGTGCCAAGCCCTGGGCAGCCCCTCTCAGGTGCTGAGGAAATTTCCAGCACTGCCCGTGCTCACCGTGATTTGGTGTGGAGCCTGTTTGTCTCTGGGCGGTCACAACTACAGCTTTGGGGGCAGAATTCCCTGCGGCAGAGGAGCTCCAGGTTTAGATTCCTTTGCGGAAGTGAAGCCTGAAACGTTCCCTGCTCTCCATAAAGGAGCGTGTTTAAAAGGTGGGTCTCTCACAACCCCTTCCTTTTAAACTCCCACGTTATGCTTTGGCAGAAGGGGGGGCTGTTTCCTGGCAGTGCGGTGTGGTTTTAGCACACGGGGCATGTGAGAATGAAGGAGCAAAGTTGTTTGGAAAACTGAGGCACAGTGGATGGGATCCGGTCCCGGTCACCTCTGGGACCTTTCTCTCCTGGTTTTGTTAGCTTTCCTCACAAGTGACATTTTCTCTGAAGCAGTTGGATTTGGAGGATGGTTTATGGCTGGGTGGGCTCCGGCCCGGCTGTGGCTGCAGGGAGGTTCTGCCGGCCCTGCCTGTGCTGTCCTGCTCGGTGCAGGATACAGGGGGTGCTGGTGGTGCTGGGCAGCGAGGGTGCGAACCCTCCCCTTTGCTTTGCTGTGAGGATGCTGTGGTGGCACCCACGTCCCATCTCGTGCGTCACGGTGCCAGGGGCCATGGAGACCCCCCCAGCAAGGCGCCGTGCTGCGTTGCAGGGAGGGTGGGCAGGACATGCGGTGGGATTGCACGTGATGGGGCACAACCAAAGTGGGATCCCTCTGCGGGAGCTGAGCGGATGCAGAGGTCCGGAGCCGATCCCTGGGCTCTCTGGAGCAGAGTCCTTCCCCCCCAGCCCGGGCTGCTTGGGAGCACACAGCCTGGAGCTGGAGATTTTCTGCCCCATCTCTGAAGCGGGTGCCAGGGACGGGTGTCACATTTGTGTGTGTGAGACCCAGGGAGCGTTTTGCACCCGATGCAAAGCTGAGGATGGGGGGGCAGTTGGTGGGCGTGAGTGCCCATGGGTTCCCAGTGGAATGGGAGAAGGGTTGTGGAAATGGTTCCCACTGGTAAATCAGGAAAGAGTTTCTCTTCCATCTCCCTGAAGCGTGTCCAGCCCCGTCTGGGCTCATTTCCCTGCTCAGCTCAGCAGGGCACAAGAAAGACACATCTCAGCAGCAGCAGCACAAAGTGCAGTGGGTGCTGAGGCAAACCACGGTCACCGAGGGCACCCTGTCCCATGGCACCATCCCCGAGGCACTGGCAGAGTGGGATGGATGCAGAGCTGGGGATGCTTGGGTGCTGCAGGGAGCAGCAGATGCTGGGTTCCCCTTTTGGGAAGCCCTGTGGATCCTGGCTGTGCAGGGTTATCTGGGCCCAGGCTGGGCTCTAGGCAAGGGGGAGCAGTGGCAAGGGACCCACAAGCAGCTCTGAAATGGTCCCAGATTGAGGCAGGTGGGAAAGGCTGGAACTGAATGAGCTTTAAGGTCCCTTCCAAGGCAGCCCAGTCTGGGATGCTGGGATTCTATAATCTGTGATGGCAGTGAGGTGATTGCAGCTGGGTCTGAGCACAGGACACGTCACCTCTGCGGGAACGGGCTCTCTCTAGGCTGAGAAACTCCCCGAGGGCTGTCATATAAATCCAGACAGGGTGATTCTGGGATAACGTGGCTTTCTCAAGATGTTTGGCTCTTCCCATCAGCTTAACTCACCTTGATTTGCTCACCTGGGTCTCTGCCATGGCGGCCGGCCCATTGGCTTTCCCCGTGGCCTGTCCTCTTGGATTTCTATAAACTCTAAATTCCAGCAGTTTTCCCAGGCGGGGGAAGCTGCAGGCAGGCTCTGTGTGCTGAGCTGCAGGTGGCAGGAGCTCAGCGCTCACACCAGCACCACAGGCACCTGAATGGGTTTACATCTGATCTGAGCTTCTTGATCCTAGATCACAGTTTGTGATCCTAAACCTCAGCTCCTCATTAACTGATGGGTTATCCCCTGACTTCCATGTTTAAATGTGATGCCAGTCTGTCCCCTTCTGTCACACGCTCTCACCCACCAGATTCATGAACTCTGCTGAAGAAGCAGGGGGAGGAAGGAACGAACCTTCCCAATAGCTCAGCAGCCCCAATTCCTTTTCTCAGCTGCATATACATGTTTTGCTGATGTATTGCAAACACAAAGGTGCAGAGTCATTAGAGGGGTATTCACATGTGAGTCTGGCCAGGGTATGAACGTCCATGGTCAGGACTTTGATATAACACCGGTATCTTTATTAATTACTCTATAGAGTGATCCAAGCTGTGAGGAGGGTTGGGGCTGCTCATGATGCTGGTACTGGTGTGGAACTGGTGATGCCTACATGGAACTGGTGATCCTGCATGGTACCGGTGATGCCTGCATGGTACCGATGATGCCTGCGTGGTAACAGTGATGCCTGTGTGATGCCAGCGGTGCCTGTGTGGTGTCAGTGATGCCTGCATGGTACGGGTGATGCTTGCGTGATAACAGTGATGCCTTTGTGGTACCGGTGATGCCTGCGTGGTAACGACAATGCCTGCGTGGTGGTGATGCCTGCGTGCCTGTCTGCCAGCATTGCTGGATGATGTGCCATAGAGAGGAAGAATGGATGTCTGTTTTAAGCGTGTTTCTGCCCAAGGCTGAGGGTGGGATTCACATGGGTGAAGCCCCTGGAGCAGAGGGTCCCTGCCTGCTGTTTGCCCCATTCATGAGTGCGGGGCTTTGAAGCCCACTTGGCGCAGTTCATGCTCAGCTCTGGTGTCTGTGCATGAGCATCCTCACTGTCCGTCCTGAAGCAGAGGAGAGGAATTGCAGGCCCTGGGATTTATTTCTTACCGTTAGCAAGCAAATGGCCTGCCTGACACCATCTCCTCCTCTGAGTCCAGGTCCTGTCTTCCCAGAGCACATGGTATGTAGGTCAGGGAAGTTAAAAGCTGCCATTGCTGGCTGTGGATGTTTGGATTCATCCCTCCAGAGCAGCAGAAGTCTCCTCCTTTGCCCTTTATGTCAGCTGCAATAACCATCAGGTCTGTGAGCAGGCAGCTGGTGCCTTCCTGCCACGGGTGATGGAGCTGTGGGGGGCCCGGTGAGGCAGGGGGATCCCCATTGCAGAGGGGTGGGGGGGGGCATCTCCCATGGGGTGGAAAGGCCCCTGTGATGGCCCAGCAAAGCCGCTTTGTGCAGGTAAATGACGGGTGTCGTTGCTGGGGGTTAGTCCTGGTCCCCCCACTCTCACCCGAGCCAAGCACTGTCAATGTGGCTGCAGGAGGAGCACCCTCCCTGCCCATCGCAGCGTGGGGGTGCTGCTGCAGCCTCTGGTGTGCTCTGTGCTGTGAGTGCAGTGGGAAGCCCGGCTCCCGCGGATGTGGAGCTCACCAGTGGTCCTTAAACATCCCTGCAGGAATGCCACGTGGCTCCTTGTGGCACACGGGGATCTCGTGTCTTCCCAAGGTCATGGGACCTTGGACTTGTGTCCCTGCCACATCCCAGCGTGGGGGCCCACACAGCACAGTGGCGAATGCACTAACACATCCCACTGGCTTTTACAGGGAATGTGGAGGGTGGAGGTGCCTGTGCATCCCGCCACGGTGAGCAGGAGCGGGCGTCTCAGGGACATGGCAGCGGGCAGAGCTCGTCTTCTGGCGTGCAGGCACCTGCACCTGGGGACAGCGGGACCCACGTCCTGCAGCACACAGGGACCCATGCCCGGGGCGCAGGGACCCTGCTCTGGGGGTGCACACGCAGCAGGTTTTGGTTCTGCAGCGCTGGGCATGGCAGGAGGGCAGAGCATCGCTGTGCCAGCCCTGCCAGGGACATCAGACAAGTGGGAGGACGCCTCTGGGAGATAGTCCCTGCACATTAATCACCCGGGAAGTCTCCTTCATTAATTCAAAGTCGTTTGTGGAGGTTCTGCAAGCAGAAATAGCTCCTGAGCAGCATCTCGCTATTGTACTCACCCCTCAGTAAAAATAGCTCAGTGGGGCTGGGGATCTTCTGCGGGAGAAGTGACAGCGGGAGCGGGGCTGGGAGCAGGACCAGGGGCCGGGATGGGGCAGGTCCCTCCCGGATGGATGTCCCTGGAGCAGAGCCCCTGGTACCCGCAGGCAGGGCTGGGAAAAGCTGGACACTGGTAGCAGGGCTGCAGCACTGGGGTCTGGGGGGCTACATGTCCCACAGCAGATGCTCAGAATCATGGAATGATGGAATGGTTTGGGCTGGAAGGGACCTTAAAGCTCCTCCAGCCCCAACCCCTGCCACGGGCAGGGACCCCTTCCACTGGAGCAGCTTGCTCCAAGCCCCTGTGTCCAACCTGGCCTTGAGCACTGCCAGGGATGGGGCAGCCACAGCTTCTCTGGGCACCCTGTGCCAGCGCCTCAGCACCCTCCCAGGGAAGAGCTTCTGCCTAAGAGCTCATCTCCATCTCCCCTCTGCAGGTTAAAGCCATCCCCCTTGGCCTGTCCCTACAGGCCCCTGTCCCAAGCCCCTCTCCAGGTTTCTTACAGGCCCTGGGACATGGGGGAAGCTGGAATTTGCCCCATAATTAGTGACTGATTAAGGAATTGCATCTGCCCAGCTTGCAGGGAAGCAGAGTGAGAGGTGGTCTGGGGAAGGGCCGTCAGTGCCTCCATGGCTGTGAGTGAATGAGGTCTTCAAAGGAGCAAATATTGGCTGTGGGAAGCAGCAGATGGAGCTGTGGGTAGTTCCTGCCCTGCTCCCGGCGCCCGGCAGCACAGCCCGCCTGGGAAGCTGGCTCTGGAATGATGCTGGTGGCAGGAGCTGATCCTGCTGCCCAGCCGCGGCCGCAGCGCTGCTGGAGCGCTCCCCGCTGGCTGTCGCGTTGGATGTGTCTCTGTGATAACAGGGAAGATCGCAATTCAGGTGGAGATAAAGGTGGTGGGAGTTTTGGTGTTCAAAGAGAAAATGACTTCCTCCTCCCGAGCGCGCTGCGCTTCCCGGGCACCGCGTGGGCATGGATCCGTGACACGGGAGCTCCCGGACCTGCCTGTTCATTCCCCGTGGAGCTGGACCGTCCTGGGCAGGCACCGGTGGCTGTGGTGGGGCCCTTCTGCCCAGCCCCGCTGCCCACGGCCTTGAAGGGGCCGCTGGCTAAACTGGAGTTTGCGGTGTAGGGTGGGTGATGGCGACCAAACCGCTCTGTGCCGGTGCCTCAGGAGGGGCCTCAAGTGGGCAGAGCAGGGGCAGCAGCGAGGGTCCCTGGTCTCTGCCACCCCAGCAAGCCCCAGAGCTGAGCATCAGCTCTGCTCCCTTAACCCCATGGGTGCAGGGCTCTGGAGGGTGCCCTCGCCCATGGGAGCACATCGGGGGCTGCCTTGACCCCAAGGGACCCAGGAAGGGCCGCCCAGGGCTCCGTGTCCATCCCCTCCTCCAGGGCCGGGTTAGGGGAGCCCTGGAGGCATCCCCCTGTGTTTCGGGTCCCATGGGGACCCTGCCGGGTGCTGCGGGTGTCAGCGTGGTTTGTCCCTGTGCCACTGGAGCTCGTGGGGGCACTGGGGCTGGGAAGGGCCTTTCCCAACCCCTTGTATCCCTGTTTGGCTTGGAATGCCCCCGGCATGGTGGGTGCTGTTCCTGAGCTGGTGTTTAAGGGGGAGGATTTCCAGTCTTGCCAATGCAATGAGCTCTTTCTGATGCTGTTTGCAAGGGAAGGGATGTAGGAGAGCTGGATGTGAGCAGAGGTTTGTCACTGCCACACGGCTTCGGAGACCAAAACATCCCGGGTGAATTTGCTGTCAGAGGTTTCTTTGCCAACAAATGCCTTTGGGGTGGGAGGGAGAAGGTGGATGAGAAGCAAAGAGCTGAGGAGCTGCTGCATCTCCAGCTGTGTCCATGGGCAGAGGTGAGCTGGCAGGGGTTGGAACTGGATGAGCTTTATGGTCTCTTCCAACCCAAACCAGTCTGTGGTTCTGTGACTTTATGGGTGTCCGTGCTGCTGTGACCGGCCGCATCCTGCTTTCACTGCAAGTCTCCTGTCTCCATCTGGAGATCCTTTTCCTTAACACCCCTGGGCCTGATCGGGAACGGAAGGGAGTGGAGATGCCCAGGGAGGGCAGGGAGAGCTTGAAGGGTAGGGATGGGAGATGCAGCCCTGCTCTGGGGCAGCGTGGTGAGCTGTACCCTGGTGTTCAGCACAGGGGTGGTGAATGGGCTGGATGGGTCCCAGCCTTGCCCTGCTGCAGCACCCGCTGCCCATCCCTGCCTGCAGCCGGTGGTGGGGCTGGTCCCACACAGGCTCCTGCCTGCGCTGTGGTGCCCGTCTGTGTTCCCGTGGCGCACTGGGGGCTGCGGTCCCAGGGGTGCTGCAGGTTGGCTCTGGGGGGGGGTCCTGCAGCACCCCCGTCAGTTCAGATCCCTCATTCACCCACAGGAGCTGGCAAGGCCAGGATGAGCTCTTTTCTCGTGGGTTCCGTCTGAGCCCAGTTATTCCGGGCAGCATCCGGCGTTGCAGCGTGGTCCCTGTTTCCAAGGAGACCTCAGGAGCAGCACAGGCACACCACGAGCAGGCACTGCAAATGTCAAGGGAGGATAAATATAGCCCTGTGCGGGTCCTCCTGTGCCCATGAGAGCCTCCTGCCCGCAGCGGGGCCAGCCTGGGCACCAGCGCCAGCACCAGGCACCAGCTTCGGTGCCCGAGCGTGCAGCAGCCTGGGTCCAGCTCTTCCTCCCCTTGCCCTGGGTGAGGGCTGTCCCCGAGGCAGTGGCAGCCTCTGGGAGCTGGGTGGGTTTAGGGTTGTGCTTGTCCAGTGGGGCTTCCCCTTGGAGCATCTCTCATCCTGCTGCACTGCCTCCATGCACGGAGCAGCTCTCACCAGAGGGCACAGCTCGGCCGTGCTCCTGGTGCTCCAACACGTTTGTTTCTCAAATCGAGCCCTGGTGGTGGATCACAAAGCGCTTCCCCAGCGGCCGCCGTGCAGTGGCCTCACCCTGTGCTTGCTCCGCAGCATTACTTCACCGTTAACTTCAACCACGAGAACCAGAAGACGCTGGAGCTGCGGACGGAGGATGCCAAGGACTGTGACGAGTGGGTTGCAGCCATAGCTCATGCCAGGTATCACCAGCACCAGCGCACCTGGGCAATGGGGTGTTGAAGGTGAAGCCGTGGGGAGCTGTGGGCAGGCTGCAGGCAGGGAGCCACTGAGCTGGGGGCTTCTGAGGGCTCTTGACCTCCAGCCCTGTGTCGGAGACCCTCCCATGGAGCAGGAAGCTGCATTCAGACATCCCCCATCCCCGTCCCAGTCCCCGTCCCTGTCACACCTTGGCAGACTGGTGCTGCCCATCGCAGCCCAGCGCTGGGGCGATGCCTGATGCACTGCCAGGCCCAAAGACCATCGGGAGGGGCTTTATCTGGAGTAGCAAAATTGGTCAGGAAGAGTTTTGTCCAAGGTCCTGTGCTGCGGGATTGCTAACCCTGGGATGGGGTCAGGAGCCAGCCTGGTGCCCTGTGTGTGGTGAAGCAAGGTGTGGTCTGGCAGCAGGAGATAGAGAGCAGCTGGGTGCTGAATGCAGGAGGTAGAGAAAGCTCATCTGATGCAGCATCTTCACCAGAGCCAGTGTGAAGGCTTGAGGCACAAGGGTCCTTCTTGGTAAACTCGTGGGGGAGAGCCCTGGCCATGGTGTTGGGTTGTGGGGGTTTTATCTCCTACCATTTCCTTAAATTTGTGTGGTTTTTACTGTCCCCGCCCTGGGGAAACCCAAGCCCTCCTGGACCGCTCCCTTCTGGGAGCCAGCATCCCAGGCTGCAAGAACTGGCTCCGGTTCATTCACCCTGCGGGTCCCTGGAGCTGGAGGGCTCAGGGCAGCGGGAGGCAGGCAGGAAGGAGAAACCAACCCGGCAGCAAACCACAGCCCATAGAGCCCTGGCTCCGTGTGCAGAGCCCGGTTCGGGGTGTGTGTGTGTGTGTGTGTGTGTGTGTGTGTGTGCCGGGGCCGGCAGGAGGAGGGATGCTCACGGCCGTGTCTGCCCGCAGCTACAGGACCCTGGCGACGGAGCACGAGGCGCTGATGCAGAAGTACCTCCATCTCCTGCAGATCGTGGAGACGGAGAAGACCGTTGCCAAGCAACTCCGCCAGCAGATCGAGGACGGGGAGATCGAGATCGAGCGCCTGAAGGCCGAGGTGACGAGCGCGGTGGCATCGCGCTGGCGCAGTGACACTGCCTCTGATGCCACCAGGCTGGGGCTTCTCTGCAGAGAGGGGCCAGGGCTCCCCTTGTTGGGGTTCACCTTGCAGGAGCCGTGCAGTGAGCGGCTGCGGCTGCCCCAGCGCCGTGCGTGTGCGGGCAGGAGAGGTTGGCCACATCCTCAGCGTGGTCTCTTCCTTAAATTTGGGATGTTAGAGTTACTAAGCGTGGGCTCGTGGCAATCCCTGACCGTGAGTCGGGGTGCACTGACGGCTGCTTTGAATCCGAGGGGTCGGGGGAGCCACAAAGCTTTCCCAGGAGCGGTTTTGGCACCACTGAAGTCGTGCTCTCCAGCAGAACCAGATCAGCCCCTAAACCACCCCGGCTGCACCCGCTCTATGGGGTGTCTCCAGGGACCCCCAGGAGCTCCCCAGGTCCTGTCCTGGCTCCAAGTCAGGGCGAGCATCCCAATGAGCTTTCAGAGCTGGGACATGTGTTGTGATCCCTGCAATTCACTGAGGGTTGGGATCAGAGCTGCAGCCGGTCCCATCCCCTGTGTCCAGGTGTGTTTGATTTTACCTTGCGTCGGTTTGGGATCTTTTTTGCTTTCCACACGCTTTGAAGCAGAGATCAAATAATCTGCTTCTACTTTCATGTGCAAATTCCGCTCACTCAGCTTAAAAAAAGAAGCCAAAATAAAGCCATGGCACCAACACAGGCACTCCATGGGTCCTGGCCAAGATGTGCCCAGAGCCAGCACATTGCAGGGTACTGCAGGGACAGGGTCTGGGTCCATCTGCAAGCCTTAGGGTGCAAACCACTGGAGATTTTTCTGCTGTTTTCTCTCCAACTTGTTTTTGCCCCGGTGATGGGTTCAGGGGTGCTGGGGGGGGGTGGTGGCACCCGGCAGCTCCGCACGTTTCCTTCTCTGCTTCCTCTGCCCGTCTCCCACTAAGACCCAACTCACGCAGCGTGTCCCTGTGTATGCGGTGGCACAGGAGGCACTGGGTGGCTGCAGGGCCTGTTCTGGGCCCCCAGCACATGCTGGGATGTGCCTCGCGGTGCCGCTCACACCCGTTCTGTGCCCGCAGATCGCCTCCCTGCTCAAGGACCACGAGCGCATCCAGGCCGGGCAGAGCAGCGCGCCCAGCGATGACGACAGCGACATCAAGAAGATCAAGAAGGTGGGCGCCGGGGTTGTGGCGGAGCGGGATGTGTGCTCCATGTGGGGCTGGGGCAGCGGGGTGAGGACCTGCCCCTCCTCATGGGGGTGCTGAGGAGGAAAACGTGGGAGCCCTTCTGTTGGTTGTGTTGGCTCTGCTCCCCACTTTCCCTGGTGAATGTGGCATCGCTGCCCGTGCTGGCTCCTGCACAAACAGCATCTCTTACATAGTCATAGAATATCCGACTGGTTTGTGTTGGAAGGGACCTTAAAGCCCATCCAGCTCCAACCCCTACCATGGGCAGGGACACCTTCTGCTAGAGCAGCTTGCTGCAAGCCCCTGTGTCCAATCTGGCCTTGAACACTGCCAGGGATGGAACAGCCTGCGAGGCTCTTCTGTGTGCCTCTGTAAAAGGGAAAAGAGGACGGTGTCTGCAAAGAGTGCATGTGAATGAGTTATTGCTGGTTTCCCAGCTGGTGACTGGGCTGGAGCAGCACCAGCAACACCAGTAAGAGCACACACCTCACTCCGGAGCCAGGGAATGCCTGCCCCGCTCCATAGCCCTGCTCTGATGCAGCCCCGCTCCGTGTGCAGGTGCAGAGCTTCCTGCGGGGCTGGCTGTGCCGCAGGAAGTGGAAAACCATCATCCAGGACTACATCAGGTCGCCCCACGCCGACAGCATGCGCAAGAGGAACCAGGTGGTGTTCAGCATGCTGGAGGCAGAGGCCGAGTACGTGCAGCAGCTCCACATCCTGGTCAACAACTTCCTGCGGCCGCTGCGCATGGCCGCCAGCTCCAAGAAGCCTCCCATCACGCACGACGACGTCAGCAGCATATTCCTCAACAGGTAGGGACCATCCCGGTGGACACGCGTTGGCATCCGCTGCCTGCCTCCGGGAATGGGTGCCAGGGCGCTCATTCCCCTGCAGGAAGGGGGTCAGGGCTGTCCTCCCTTGTGGGTTCACTTCTGAAGGGAGCTCCCTGCTGCGCAGTTCCCCCCTCTGCTGCTCTGTCCTCATCCATCATTCCCGTGGCACCCTCCTTGTGCAGCCGCCTCCCAGCTGCTCCCAGCGCCCCCTCTTTGCCGACGGTTTCCTCCGGTTGCCCACTCTTTGCTCCTGCTCTTCTGCCTTTTCACCCTTCGCTTTGCCTTCCAGCGAAACCATCATGTTTTTGCACCAGATCTTCTACCAGGGCCTCAAGGCAAGGATCTCCAGCTGGCCAACACTCGTGCTGGGTGAGTGCCTCTCGCCTCCTCATCCTGCTTCCTTCTCACTTGTGGGTGGAGCCGAGCCTTCGCTCTTCTTCCTCCTCCTCATGCGGCTGAACAGGCATTCCTTCTGCTATAACCAGCAGCAGCAGGGAAGCCTGTTGATGGTGCTTGTTCACGTCGGCCATGGAGGCGAGGACTGGAGCAAAAAGCCCCAGAGAAACCCAATTCCTGGTCCTGCCGGGTGCTGGAAGGGGTGGGCTGGGGCGTGCACAGGAGGCCTGGTGCTGGAGCATCGCATCGCCGTGTCCGATCAGACCCTCAGCTGGTGCTGGAGGGGGTCTTTGGAACCCAAACTGGGCCTTGCACAAGCAGCAGGAGGGGCTGTGCTGGGACCCCAGGACGCCTTCTGGAGCCGCTCACCCCCTGCCCCTCTGCTCGCAGCCGACCTGTTCGACATCCTGCTGCCCATGCTGAACATCTACCAGGAGTTCGTGCGGAACCACCAGTACAGCCTGCAGATCCTGGCGCACTGCAAGCAGAACCGCGACTTCGACAAGCTACTCAAGCACTACGAGGCCAAGCCCGACTGCGAGGAGAGGACCCTGGAGACCTTCCTCACCTACCCCATGTTCCAGGTGACCTGGAGCGGGCCCAGCGGTGCCACCACAGCGAAGCCCAAAGAGGTCCTGGAGCTGGACCTGCGTGGTCCTGTGCTGCTCCTGGGACCTGCTCAGGCCATTGCTGGGCTCCCCGCTGCTGCGGGAGGACTCTGGGAGAAGCTGCTGCTTCCTGGTTATCCCACACCTCTGGGGCACAGCAGGGTCCTGGGCAAACCCCACACCCTCTTCGTTAAGTTTCAGCACAAGGAGCTTTTCTTAACCCCCCGGTCAGTGTGTATGAGACACGGTGTCCCCATAGTGTCCCCAGGAGCAGTGCCCGCAGCCCTGTGCGCCCCCTCCATCCCGTGCTGATGCCCTGCTCTGGTCCTGTTGTCTGCAGATCCCCAGGTACATCCTGACGCTGCACGAGCTCCTGGCTCACACCCCCCATGAGCACGTGGAGAGGAACAGCCTGGATTATGCCAAGTCCAAGCTGGAAGAGCTGTCCAGGTCAGACCCACACTGCCCATCCCTGCCCATCACTTCCCGTCCCTTCCTACCCTTCTCCACCCCTTCCCATCCCGGCATTGGGGCCCATTTACTGCCCAGAGGTGCCACTCGTGTGGATATCATCCCAGCTCCAATTCCCTCTGCTTCCTTCAGGATAATGCACGATGAGGTCAGTGAGACGGAGAATATCCGGAAGAACCTGGCGATCGAGAGGATGATCATTGAGGGCTGCGAGATCCTGCTGGACACCAGCCAGACCTTCGTGAGGCAAGGTGCGAGTCCGCGCTCAGCCTGTGCCCCCTGCGTTAGCACAGAGCCCGCAGCCCTCCTCCTGCATCCCCCATCCCTCCACGCGGGGCCTGCTGCTCGGTGGGGTTTAAACACATCGCTCCTGTCTGAGTTTCCTCTGCTCCAAAGCGCCTCGCTCTTGGTTTGGGCACTGCTTTGTGCGGCGTCATGGAGCACAACGCGTGCTTTGGCTCTTAGGGGCTCCCTGCGGCCGGGGAAGCGGTGGCTCGTGTCCTGACCCGCTGGGGAACCGCATGAGCACCCACACAGCCGCACACAGGGGTGGGCTGGGGCATGGCTGCTCCTGGCCCCGCTGCACGGGGGCACGGAGACGCTGCGCTCCCAGGGCCAGGCCTGCGGAGCCGCGGTGCCGGACGCGGTGCCAGGGCCGGGTCTGTCCCCCGCAGGCTCCCTCATCCAGGTGCCGATGTCGGAGAAAGGGAAGATCACGCGGGGCCGGCTGGGCTCGCTCTCGCTGCGGAAGGAGGGCGAGCGGCAGTGCTTCCTCTTCTCCAAGCACCTCATCATCTGCACCCGGGGCTCCGGGGGCAAGCTGCACCTCACCAAGGTGGGACGGGGGCACCGGGCTGTGCTGGTGGGGTGCAGGCACCTTGGGGGGGGAGCTCTGAGCCACGGGCAGCGATGGGAAACCACGAGCTCCCGATGGAAGAAGTTGTGGTCTGCAGCTGAGCCCGTGAGAGCTGCTCAGGGGGAGCCTCGCTCCCAGCCGGGCTTGAGCACAGCCTGGGGCTGCCCCGGGCCGGGCCCAGGACTCCGCTTTTGCCGATGGAGTTTTGCAGCTCCTGAGCAGGAGCCCGACAGGAGCCGCTCATCACTGGTGCTCAATCATCAGTGTGAAAGCGGCAGCGCGTGGCACGGAGCTGGTCCCTGGGAGCAGACCCTCGGGAAGTGAACCTAAAGCCCCTGTGAAGTAGTTTACACATAAAGTAGTGGATGGGTTGTGCAAGGAAAGCAGCAACAGCCCCGCAGCTGGAGCTGCTGCTTCCCGGGAGAGCAGGCACGGAGCTGGCCATGGGCTGTGCGTGCCCCCTTGGCCGGCGGCTGGGATGCGGAGCAGGATCCAGGGGGATCCCGACACTGAGCCCTGCCTCCTGCCCCTGCAGAACGGCGTCATCTCCCTCATCGACTGCACGCTGGTGGAGGAGCCGGAGAGCACCGACGAGGACGGTAGGAGCCCCCCTGCTCGCAGAGCCCCCAGGGGACACGGAATCATAGAACCATGAACTGGTTTGGGCTGCAGGGACCTGAAAGCTCGGCCAGTTCCCACCCCCTGCCGTGGGCAGGGACACCAAGCGCCAGCCCAGGCTCCTCTGGTCCTCACCAGAGGTCTCCAGCACGTGCTGTGGGTTCTCCCCTGGCACATGGCACCAGGGCTACGCTGGCGCTCCCAGTGTGCAGCGAAACAGGGACCCTTTGCCCAATGAACCTGTCCCACCCTGATCACAGGCAGCCCACAGAATGCGGCAAACCCCAGTAACGCCCATGGAGGGGGGGGAAGCTTTTCACAATCACTGTGTGTGTGTTTTCTATTCCAAAGCAAAAGCATCAGGGCAGGACATCGACCACCTTGACTTCAAAATCGTGGTGGAGCCCAAAGATTCCTCCTCTTTCACCGTCATCCTCGTGGCCTCGTCCCGGCAGGAGAAGGCTGCGTGGACCAGTGACATCAGCCAGGTAGGCTGGACACAGCCCAGGGCAGCCGGGGAGGGCGGCTCCATGCAGAGGGTGACCTGGAGCTGGGGGCACTGAGAGCCTGGACATCCCCAGCAGCTTTCTGCTGTCTGGTGGCTCAAGGAGGAGGAGGAGGGAGGTGGCACAGTCACAGCAGCAGGAGCAGGGTCTGTCCCGTTGTGCTCTGCCTGCATGTGCAGATACGTGGCTTGGATTTCTCCTCTGGCCCAGGCTCGTGGTACACTTTACATCTGCTCTTCATTTGCTTTGTGCAAAACGTAGAACCATGGAATGGTTTGGGTTGGAAGGGACCTTAAAGCTCCTCCAGCTCCAGCCCCTGCCAGGGCAGGGACCCCTTCCACTGGAGCAGCTTGCTCCAAGCCCTGTGTCCAACCTGGCCTTGAGCACTGCCAGGGATGGGGCAGGCACAGCTTCCCTGGGCACCCTGTGCCCGTGTCCCACCACTCCTGCCCTTAGCAGGAAGTGCCTTGTCTGGGTAAGCCCGGGCTCCCTGAGGGTGTTTCCCAGCGGGGAGCAGGGGGTGTCCCTGCCGCCTTGTCCCACCTGCCCCGTGTCTCGTGCAGTGCGTGGACAACATCCGCTGCAACGGGCTCATGATGAACGCCTTCGAGGAGAACTCCAAGGTCACCGTCCCGCAGATGATCAAGTGAGTGCTGCGGGGCCGGGCCCCACGGAGCAGCTCCCGTGGTGCTGCCCGTGCCCTGAGAGCCCGGTGACAGCCCCGGGCCGTGCTGGTGCCGGTGCCGTGGCTGGGAGCCGTTGTTAGCTGGGAGGAGGTTTGTGTGGGGCTGGGCAAGGGGAGAGCTCAGGGGAAAGGCAATAACAGTAAAGGGGGGGGGGAAGCAGCAGAAGAGACGGGTGCAGGGGTTGTCAGCCTGGTGGGTGCTGGGTGCAGGGGTATGTGTGGCACAAGGGGGTCGGGCACAGCTGTGGGGACGAGGGGGTGTCCCCAGCACACTGGGGGGGGGCTTTGCTGTCAGGCGTGGGGAAGGGTCCTGGTTCATGGTGTGGCCCAGGGGCATATGTTTTGTGCACAAGCCTCTGCCCGTTGAGCACTCTGTACTGTTCCCCATCAGTCTGGGTGCGAATTCCCTACTTCCTCCCTGGGATTATTCCCAGCTGCATTTTACAGAGGGGCATTCGTGTGAACGAGGCCCCTTTGCTGTCCCACTTCCTCTTGGTTTCGTTCCAGGCTGGAGCCACAGAAATCTTGTTTCTCTGCAGGTCTGATGCCAGCTTGTATTGTGATGATGTTGACATTAGGTTCAGTAAAACGATGAATTCCTGCAAGGTCCTGCAGATCCGCTATGCGAGCGTGGAGCGGCTCCTGGAGAGGCTGACGGACCTGCGCTTCCTCAGCATCGACTTCCTCAACACCTTCCTGCATTCCTACCGCGTCTTCACCACCGCCCTGGTCGTCCTCGACAAGCTCATCACCATCTACAAGAAGCCCATCAGTGCCATCCCCGCACGGTGAGCAGAGGGAGCCGGGGCCCGTGCCAGCTGCTGGTGGTGGAGGATCCCCGCAGCCTCACACGCAGAGCGGGTGCGAGTTCAGCCTTTCCCTGTCTCCCCGCAGGTCCCTGGAGCTGCTCTTTGCAAACAGCCAGAACAACAAGCTGCTCTATGGAGAGCCCCCCAAGTCCCCCAGGGCCAACCGCAAGTTCTCCTCGCCTCCCCCCCTGTCCATCACCAAGTCCTCATCCCCCAGCCGGCGGAGGAAGCTCTCCCTCAACATCCCCATCATCACCGGGGGCAAGGCGCTGGACCTGGCTGCCCTGAGCTGCTCCTCCAACGGCTATGCAAGCATGTACTCCTCCATGGCTCCCTTCAGCAAGACCACCCTGGACATAAACAAACTGTACGTGTCCAGTAACTATCCCAATAAAATCCCTGACGAAGGAGAAGCAGCTTCTGAAAAGCCAGAGGAGTCGCTGCCAGGCAAGCAGGGTAAGTCACAGGACCACAGGATCCCAGCCGGGTTTGGGTTGAAGGGACCTTAAAGCTCCTCCAGACCCAACCCCTGCTACAGGCAGGGATCCCTTCCACTGGAGCAGCTTGCTCCAAGCCCCTGTGTCCAGCCTGGCCTTGAGCACTGCCAGGGATGGGGCAGCCACAGCTTCTCTGGGCACCCTGTGCCAGCGCCTCAACACCCTCACAGGGAAGAGCTTCTTCCATATATTGTGGACCTCTCCTGTACCTGGTTGTCCCACTGGAATGATTCAGACTTTAGGAAAACCTGGAAGACATAAAACGTGGCTGTGATGTGCACATGTCAGTGATGTAAACAGGTTCCCTGTGCCCCTGTTACAGGCTCGGAGGTGTCGGTCCGGGAGGAGTCAGACACGGATCCCAACCACAGCGATGAAGCAGAAGCTGAAACTTCCCCAACAAAATCTCCGACGACTCCCAAGTCCGTCAAGTGCAAAAACTCATCAGGTATTGAGTGAGCCCAACTCCATCCCGCAGGATCACCCAGCTCCATCCCATGGGATCACCCAGCTCCATCCCACAGGATCACCCAGCTCCATCCCATGGGATCACCCAGCTCCATCCCATGGGGTCACCCAGCTCCATCCCGCAGGATCACCCAGTTCCATCCCGCAGGATCACCCAGCTCCATCCCATGGGATCACCCAGCTCCATCCCACGGGGTCACCCAGCTCCATCCCACGGGGTCACCCAGCTCCATCCCACGGGGTCACCCAGCTCCATCCCATGGGATCACCCAGCTCCATCCCATGGGGTCACCCAGCTCCATCCCACGGGGTCACCCAGCTCCATCCCACGGGGTCACCCAGCTCCATCCCATGGGATCACCCAGCTCCATCCCACGGGGTCACCCAGCTCCATCCCATGGGGTCACCCAGCTCCATCCCATGGGGTCACCCAGCTCCATCCCACAGGATCACCCAGCTCCATCCCATGGGGTCACCCAGCTCCATCCCACGGGGTCACCCAGCTCCATCCCGCAGGATCACCCAGCTCCATCCCATGGGGTCACCCAGCTCCATCCCATGGGGTCACCCAGCTCCATCCCACGGGATCACCCACTCCATCCCATGGGGTCACCCAGCTCCATCCCACGGGATCACCCACTCCATCCCATGGGGTCACCCAGCTCCATCCCATGGGATCACCCAGCTCCATCCCATGGGATCACCCAGCTCCATCCCATGGGGTCACCCAGCTCTGTCCCATGGGGTCACTCGGGGCTGCCACTGCCCCTGAGCCTGCCCATGCAGAGCCGCTGATGCTGCGGGCCTGGGGGGCAGGACTGCACCCTCCATCTCCCTGCAAGGGGACAGAGAAGCGCAGAACCTGTCTGGTTCTGTCCATCTTCCCGGGTGTTCTTGGCCCTTTCCTCCCCTCCTGGGAACAATCTGGTGCCACAGGAGCAAGTTATGCCGCTCAGTGTGAGCCTGGGCTGGCACCAAGCATGGATTTATCTCCTCGAGTGCCCCCTGTAGCTACCTTGCACCATCTGTAGCTCCCTCTTGGCTTAGCTCCTGCTAAAGCTGGCCTGGATGAGTTCTTTTGACATGGTGGCACCCAAAGCTGCCCCAGTGGTAGGGGCCAGCTCTCCACGAGGAGCATGGTCTGCACCGACGCCTCCACGAGCCCCATTCCCCAGGGGCTGCCCATGCCGTGGGGCTGCAGGCAGGGCAGTGACCCGGCAGGGCTGGCGTGGTCCCCGCAGCGGTGTTGGCTCCCTTCTCCCCCCAGACTTCTCGCTGTTCTCCTACAACAACGGCGTGGTCATGCCGTCCTGCCGGGAGCTCGACAGCACCCGCAGCGCCCTCTCCGCTGCCTCCGCCTTCGCCATCGCCACGGCGGGCGCCAACGAGGGGACCCCCACCAAGGAGAAGTACCGCAGGATGTCCCTCGCCAGCGCAGGTACGGCACGGGGGGCATGGCTTTGGGGTGCTCAGCTCCCTGCAGGAGCACCCTGGTTGGGGGGCAGCCCCCGAGCTGTGTCCATGGCTGCCAGGACATGGGTGCTGCCCCGGGAATGGGCAGGTTGCAGGCAGTAAAACCCTTTGCACCTATGGTTGAGCTGCCCCCATGGTGCTTGCCCTTAGGAGGCACTTAAGGATGCTTGGGAAACTGGGGCTGCTCGTTCCAGCAGTGCTGGAATGCCAGCTGCCGTGATTCCCAATGGACTCAGAGCTGTGCTAAGGACTCGCTGGCAGTTTCAGGCTTCCCGACAGACCAGCGGAACGGGGACAAGGAGTTCGTGATCCGGAGAGCGGCCACCAACCGTGTCCTCAACGTGCTGCGGCACTGGGTCTCTAAACACTCCCAGGTGGGTGCCGAGGGGCTGGGTTTGGATGCGATGCTGGTGTGAGCTCAGTTGCGTGCGATGGCGCGGCCAGGATCCAGCTGCAAAGGCAATTTGACGCTTGGTTCTTAATGAAGAGAATGATGCACAGTGAGCCCGGAGCCTTCCTGGCCCATTCCCGATTGCCAGGCATGGCAAACTGGGATTGTGCAGGGAAGAGGCAGCCTCTGCCCTGGCCAAGCAGCCACCCACTGCGGGGCCATCGGTTCTGGCTGGGTGTAACTGGGCAGGGAGTGGAGCTGCTGGGGATCCACGTCACTCCCGTCAGCACGTTAACACCGTGGCTGTGCTGCCTTTGGCAGGACTTCGAAACCAATGAGGAGCTGAAGTTCCGAGTGATTGGCTTCCTGGAGGAGGTTATCCACGATCCCGAGCTCCTGACCCAGGAGAGGAAAGCAGCCGCCAACATCATAAGGTGAAGGGCTGAGGGTGGGAGTTGCTTTTCCTGGACTCTGGGGGAGGAATAACTTGGAGAGGAAATTTTTTTCTCTTTGAAGTGGGACCTAAAATGCACCCCAGTATGTGCAAAGCCACAGTGCCCTGCACAGCCCCCGTGGATGGTGCAGGTCTGATGCTCTCCCTGCACAGTAACGCTGCCTTTTCATGCTGCAGGACCTTGACACAGGAGGATCCAGGAGACAATCAGATAACCCTGGAGGAGGTCGTACAGATGGTAAACACCCTTCCCCTTCGGCACGCACTGGGATGGTGGTAGGGAAACAACTACAGATCCCCGTGGTCCAGCACGCACTGCTTGGTGGAGAGCAGCTCTCCAAGGCCAGGCGTGCAGCTACAAACAGGGACTCTGATGGGGACAGGGCCAGCTGTGAGCACAGCTGGATCTGTAATGGGCAGAGGCAGCACTAACCCCCCCGCCCCGGCCCTGGTATTGCTGCACCGCCGGCAGGCTGCTGCCGTGGATGTGCCTGCCCGAGGGACACAGGAAAGCCCCTCAGGTCTCCACTGTGTCCCCAGCCCTGTGCCAGCGCTGCCGTGTGCTGGTTCCAAGCGATGGGCCCCGGCCCTGCTGGTGTCGGTGCCGCTCCCCCGGGAGCGGAGCCCTGGAATGAGCGGTGGTTTAAAACCGTCACAGCGGCTGTGGTGCATTGGCTGCCTTCCTGCCCAGAGGAACCCCGGAGCCACTTCAAACGGGTCGGGTGCACCTGAAACAACAGCGGCTCTGTCCCTGCCTCTGTTGGTGCTTCTCAAGTGGCCGATCCCTCCCGGGGTTCCACGAGTGCTGGAAACCTCCTTTGGAGAAGGCGACCAAAACCAGAGGGTTCAGTCTGCCCGTCCACCCAGCAGCAGGGACCTGCAGTCAGAGGCACAGTGCGGGTTTGGGGCGCACCCTGGGATGATGGAGGTTCCCCGATCCCCTCATGTGCAGTGTGCTGCGAGCTGGACCCTCACTGGGTGCTAAGAGCCTTCCCACACTGTGCAGGACGCTGCTGGCTGCCACCGGTGCCATTTGCCCATCCAGCACCCTGTGCCCTTCAAGGTGTGCCCCACACCTGAGTCCTGCTGTGCACCCACACCCCACAGCCCAAGGGCTGCCGAGGGAGCTCAGCTGGTGTTTGCTGGTGTTTGCTCGCCAGAGCCACTTTCACAACCCCCTTCCCACAGCCAGGAGGGGTTTTGCAATGGGCTCTTAACCCATGCTGGCCGGGAGGGTCCCTGGGGCTGGGTCACCCGTGGGGGGCCTGCTCTGCAGAGGGGCTGCACCCCAGAGCGGGGGGGGGCAGGCGAGTCTGGTTTGTGTGCATGACGCAGTTCTCAGCACGCTCTGAACCCTCCTCGTTGCCTTTGTCCCAGGCTGAGGGAGTCAAAGCAGAACCCTTTGAAAACCACTCGGCCCTGGAAATAGCCGAGCAGTTGACGCTGCTGGATCACCTGGTCTTCAAGAAGATCCCCTACGAGTGAGTGGTCCCCGTGCTGAGGAAGGGCTGTTCCGCAGCTCCCTGCAGCCTGCCCAGGCTAAAGCACAGGGTGCAATCCTTTCCTTCCTGCTTTGCCAGTAGCCCAGCCTGGGCTCAGCCCAGATGTGGGGCCTGACCATGGGGCTGATTTGATGTCCCTGGGGTGACCTGCTTGGGGAGACCCTTCCGCATCCATCACACTTCCAAGTGCATCCATGTGGTCCCTTCCTGGCGGGGGGGGGGGGGGGGGGGGGCGCAGGTCCTGGTATCTCCATCCCATGTGGGTGCTGTGGCACTTGCAGGGCTTGAGCACCTCAGACAAAGGGGAAATTAATATTGTCATTTGCAGAGAGTTCTTTGGGCAAGGCTGGATGAAGCTGGAGAAGAACGAGAGGACCCCGTACATCATGAAGAACACAAAACACTTCAATGATGTGAGTGCAGCCACACAGGGGGTGGGAGGACGGGCAAAGACAGGGCAGTGCAGCCCACCCAGCGCTGGCCAGGGGCTGCAGTGTACAAGGGGCATCTGCCCCAGCCGTGCTCAGTGCGTGTGACCTGCCCCAGGGACACGCTACAGGTTGAGCATCTCCTGCCTGAAGAAGGTGCTCAGGGGACACCTGCCGGGGCTCCTGCAGTGAAGGGAACGCTGCGAGGCTGGAGGGTGCATCCAAAGCCACCCTGACAGTGGGGCTGGGGCCGCTGTCTCCCAAAGGTCAGCAACTTGATCGCGTCGGAGATCATCCGGAACGAGGAGATCAACGCGCGGGCGAGCGCCATCGAGAAGTGGGTGGCGGTGGCGGACATCTGCCGGTGCCTGCACAACTACAACGCGGTGCTGGAGATCACCTCCTCGCTCAACCGCAGCGCTATCTTCCGCCTCAAGAAGACCTGGCTCAAGGTCTCCAAGCAGGTAGGGGCGCGGGGACGGCCCCGCTGGGGAGCAGGGCAGGCTCCGGGGGGCTGGGAGCGGGGGGGATTGGTGCAGACCCAGGCATTGATGAAACAGGGAGGACACGGACACCACCTGGTCCAACCTTTCCAGGCACAGCGTGACCCACACTGGGTGTCCCAGCTGTACCCTGTGCAGCTGAGCCTTAACAGTGTCCGGTGCTGGGGAGTCACCTCTTCCCTGGGGAGATTATTCCAATGGTGATTGTTCGCAGTGGGAAAAATTTTCCTCTTGTGTCCACCTGGAATGTTCTTGGGAAAAGAGTCATTGTAGCTCTGTACACACGCACAGATGGTTCTTTAAACTGGTTTTGTGGGCTCCTGAGGCCAATTATGGATGAGCAGAACGAATTCTTGTGTTAGTTGGTACAGAAATAGCTCGTAGCTGCAGGGTGCAGAGCCTGAGGAGGCCGGGGATGCCAAGCAGAGCCACTCCGTGCGCTCCCGGCTCTCTTTACCCTCAAAGTGGTAAACCTGCAATTAACACAGGCTCTGGTGAAGGCAGAGCTGGGAGCAGGGGCGGAAATGAGCGCGGAGCCTGTCCTTACATGCGGGGGAGCAGCTGCTCCTCATGTCAGCAGGAGCCGGGAATAGCGGCCAGGGCAGAGCTTGTCCCTGTGGCAGTGCCGCTCGGGGTGCTGTGTCCTGGGGGCTCTGTGGGCAGGGCGGGCTGGGAGCGACCCCGGGACCTCACGCGGCGCGCGGGTCTCTTGCAGACCAAGGCTCTGATCGATAAGCTGCAGAAGCTGGTGTCGTCCGAGGGCAGGTTCAAGAACCTCAGGGAGGCACTGAAAAAGTGAGTGGATGACTCTGCTCCGGGGGGGGCTGCGGGCTGGGGCTCGGCTCACAGCTACTGCAGAGCCTGCACTGACCACGTCCTAAAGCCCCTCCAGTCCCAACACCCTGCCACGGGCACGGACACCTTCCCCTAGAGCAGGCTGCTCCAAGCCCCGTCCAGCCTGGCTGCTCCTTTGAGCAGTGCTGTGGAAAGGGGTGAACAAAAGGGGCTGTGAGGAGGCAAATCCCTGCCAGACACTGGGAAACACCCCTATCCCCCCCCGGCGAGCATCCCCACGGGCTGCGCATCGCTGCTGGATGCTCCAGAGCCCCTGGGTTTCCTTCTCATTTGTTTCTGGTTTGCTCCCGAAGTTGTGACCCTCCGTGTGTGCCCTACCTGGGAATGTACCTGACTGACCTGGCGTTCATCGAGGAGGGCACCCCCAACTACACCGAGGACGGGCTGGTGAACTTCTCCAAGATGAGGATGGTGAGTGGCCCAGCCCCACAGGGTTGGAGCTTTGCGGCTCAGTGCTGGGGTCCTGGCTGGGTCTGTGCAGTCCCCAAAGCCACCATCACCCGCACAGCTCAGGGCCACACATGTCCCCTGCACAGAGCCAGGTTCACTCTGGTGAGGATCGTGTCTGGATGAAACAAAGGCCCTTTGGATTGTGCTGCACTGGAGGGATGGAGCGAGCCCCACTGGCTGCCCGTGCACTGGACACAGTGCCGGTGGTGCTTGCTGTGCTGTTACAGCTCCTGTCTTCTATCTCTGGACAGATTTCACACATCATAAGGGAGATCCGCCAGTTCCAGCAAACCTCCTACAAGATTGAGCACCAACCTAAGGTACGGCCTTGGCCTTGGCCTGAGATCCACACAGTCCCTCTGCTCCTCGTCTCCCTCTTAAATCACAGCACCTACGCCTTCAACTTCTGGCAGCTCCCTTGGGGAAGATGTGATGCTTCAGAACCAGTGTAGGTGTGGGGGCTTGTGCCAGTGCAGGGGCTTGTGTCAGGTAAGGTGTAACGGGGGGGACAGGCACAGGAGACATGGAGTGACCTCCCTGCTGGGAGCAGAGCATGTGATACACCCCTGCACCCTGGGGCTGGGTGGCCTCTGCCTTGTGGTGGCCCCACACATGAGATGAGATGAGATGATGAGATGAGATGAGATGAGATGAGATGAGATGAGATGAGATGAAAGGCGTCACCACACGTGATGAGATGAAAGGTGTCACCACGCTCGCACTCCCTGTGCCGCAGTCACCCTCTGGCTGCTGGGCAGGCAAAACCTCCTGAGCCAGCACTGCCGGACCTGCCCCATGCCTGGGCGCTGGTGCCCAGGCCAGGCCAAACCACCCTCTGGTGATGCCACCTCCCATGTGTGGTGGCCGGAGCAGCCCCAGTGCCCGTGGACCACAGCCCCCGGCTGGGCTGGCGGAGGCTGGGGACCTTCAGCAGATAAGTGTGTGCAATGCCCGTGCCGGTTGGCAGGGGCTGCTGGCTCTTCTCTGCTGCTCATTTACTGCTCAGGCTGTTACCACTTCCTGCCTTCACCCGTTGTGGCTGGCCACCAGTGGCGAGTCCTGCTCAGCAATGCTCTGTCCTCCCGCAGGTGACGCAGTACCTGCTGGATCAGTCCTTTGTGATGGATGAAGAAACCCTTTACGAAGCTTCTCTGCGAATAGAGCCCAAGCTGCCTTCCTGAGTGCGGAGCGGAGGCGGGCGGCCGCTCTGTGCACACGCTGTCCCACCCTGTAAATACCTGTTCGTTTCTGTTGGACGCCCTGGAGTGACTTCACGTCTGTGCTTCTCCGAGCAAACCGCCCCCCCCGTTCTTAGGCCGCTCTTAGACCCCGCCTAGGGTTTCCCGCATCATTCTAAGGTTTCACGCACTGACACGTGGCTGGAGTCCCGGGCTCTTTCCATGATGATGATGATGATGATGATGATGTTCTTCTTGTCATTGGCTCTTCTCGAGGGGGCTGGCGGTGGGGCAGGGGCCCCACGGGGCTCCCGGTGGCACGGAGCAGCTCTTGCTGGTGCAGCATCAACGGTGATGCCCCGGCGCAAGCTCTGTGTGGTGGGGGAAGAGACCACGATGAAGTTCATCCCCCCCCCTCCCCGGTACCCTCGGCCGCTGCCCCGCTCCCTCCCGCGTCGGGAAGATGGAACCGTCCCTTTGGCTCTCCTCGCTGCGTACGGCTCACGACAAGCTTCTGTGGATATGCTGTAGATCCGTAAACCTTGTGACCACTCTGAGTAACATGATGTAGAATTAGAAAACGATGACCGAGTGTTTTTATTACATATACTGTAATCCTGTCTAACCACCTTCTAGCAGGAATATAGTAATGTAGTGCTTATTCTGTGAATATTACCATGTATTTTTTACATTGTACAGTATATAAACACAGTTTAACTCTACAGTGGCAGGCATGCTCCACTCCGACAACCACAACACTTTTGCTGTAAGCAATACCTCGTGGTATGAGAATTCTCTTTCAAGCCCTAAAACTATTTCAACTTACAGCTTGTTTGGAAAAGATAAAAAAGAAAAAAAAAAAGATATTTCCATTTTTTTGTAAAAATATATGTTTCCTGATTACCTCTTGCTAATAAATCTATTCTATCTCAGGGTGAACCGCGCCTGCTCGCGTTCTTCATCCCGCACGCACGCCCCGCCCCGCCCCGCCCCTGCCCGCCCCTCCGGCAGAGCTCGGGCTCGTTCGGCTCTGTTCGGCTCTGTTCGGCTCTGCTCGGCTCGGCTCGGCCCGGTTCGGTTGGGTTCGGCTCGGTGCGGCTGGGGTCGGCCATGAGCTGGGCCGTGCTGCTGCTGCTGCCGCTGCCTGTGGCCGCGCTCCTGGCGCCCGCCGCAGCATGGGCGCCCTCCGCCGAAGGTAGAAGGGCACCGGGAGGGGAAGGGAAGGGAAGGGAAGGGCAGGGGTGGCTCGGCTCGGTGTGGCCTTGGCCCGGGCGCTCTCCGAGCCGGGGAAGCCGCTGACGCCTCCCCGCTCTCTCCCGCAGAGGAGCTGCAGTTCAAGGCCTGGATGCTGCAGGTAAAGCCCCGGGGGTGCCGGGGCCGGGGCCGGGGCTCGGGGCGCGGGGCAGCCCTGGTGATGTCGGGGCGCGGCTGACGCGCTCTGCCCGCAGCACAACCGGCGGTACCCCCCCGGCGAGTACCCGCGCCGGCTGCGCACCTTCCTGGGCAACAAGCGGCAGATGGACGAGCACAACGCCGGCAACCACAGCTACCAGAGTAGGAGCCGCGCCCCCAGCCCCGGCCCGCGCTCGCCTTCAGCCCCGGGCCTCCCCGAGCCGAGCCCTCCCGTGTCCTCCTCTTGCAGTGGGCCTGAACCAGTTCTCGGATCTGACCTTCGCGGAGTTCAAAAAGCTCTTCCTGTGGAGGGAGCCGCAGGTAAGCGAGCAGTGTGCTGCGGGGGCTCTGCGCAGACCCGCACCCATTGCTGCCCCCCCGACATCCGCTTTGCCAAGTCGGTGCCGGTGAGAGCGAGGTGAGCCCCGTCCCTTCCCCCGCTGCGCTCAGCTCTGGACTGTCACTTCTGCTTTCAGTTTTCGGGGCTGAGCTGTGTTTCTATGGGCCTGATCCCGGCTGTTTGGGGAGTTCCTGCTCCCGGAGCAGCTGTGGCACCGCTGCTGGGTGCAGCCCGGCGCTGCTCCTGCAGGGCTGGCCCGGGTTTCCCCGGCTGCAGCGGCTGGTGTGCGGTGGGCCGGGGCTGTGGATGCAGCGCGGCAGTCGCTGCTCGCTGCAGCAGTCAGCGCAGCCCTCCTGCCTCGCTTGCAGAACTGCTCAGCCACGAAGGGCAGCTTCCTGCGCAGCTCCGGGCCGGCTCCTGACTCCATCGACTGGAGGAAGAAGGGAAATTTTGTGACACCCGTGAAGAACCAGGTGGGGAGCGTGTGCCATGGGCGATGCACTAAGCGTGGACCGGGAGAGGGGCTAACAGCTGTGGCAGGGCACGGTGCAGGGATGGGGTGTGTGTCTGCGGGGCAGCGGGCTCCCCGGAGCCCCTCTGTGGCTGGGGTAAGGCTGAGCAGAAGGCAAAGCCCTGGTGTGTCCTTCCCCCGCGGTGTTTTGGGGAGGCTGGTGACCCTGGGACATCTTATGGAGCATTCCCTTTCTGGTTTCCAACACAGGGCCCCTGTGGGAGCTGCTGGACGTTTTCTACCACGGGCTGTTTGGAGTCTGCTATTGCTATTGCAACAGGAAAGCTCCTCTCTCTGGTAAGAGGTTTTCCTTTCCTGTGCCCTGACAGCAAGTCCTGCCTCTGGTTATCTGCCAGGACGGGCTGGGACAGCCACTGGCTCCTTGTTCTGAGCTGGACACCCAGCCCTGCAGACCCATTACAGTGCTCCTCACGCTGAGCTAAACTGGCTGGGTGCTTTCTGTGCCCAAGGATGTGCCTGTTGCCATCCCCTCTTGGTGTCCGTGTGTCCCACTGCCCCGGGCTTGGGCAGAGCTTTTTTTGAAGCAGGACAACATTGCAGGCAGGCAGGAGCTCCCAGCTGTAAGCAGTGCTTTGTGAGACTGTTTATTTTTAAACTCCCAGAGGATTTATATTCTTGAAGAACTGGAAGGGCAGTAGTCACTGCTGTGACTTACTGAACAGCCAAGGGTTGGCTCTAAGTGTTAAAAACAAACTTGACCTTTGGAAGAGATCTCAGCCTCCCCTCCCCTGGGTGGGACAGTGGCCCAGTGACCCGGCAGGCCTGAGGGGGAATGCCTCCTGCAGCAGGAGCATCCCGAGCTGCTGGCTCCGTGCCTTCCTTGTCCCCTCCTCGGAATGTGGAGTGATTCTGTTGGTAAAACCCCTGCTCTTTGATCGCCTGCATTTTATCTCACGTATTCTGGCTGCAGGGGTTGGATATGTACTGACCCCAAACCTTTCCCATAGGCAGAACAGCAGCTAGTTGATTGTGCCCAGGCTTTCAACAACCACGGCTGCAGCGGGTAAGTAATATGAATAAAGCACAGAAATGAGAGTATGTCATTTTCCACGATTGACAGCCTTCCTCAAGGCCTAGTGTCTAAGTCTTGGAATGAGGTCTTTGTTTCCCTTTGGCTGAGATGTGTCTGTGTTTGCTTTGCTCATTTTAATTTCACCCTCCCTAGAGGCTGGAAAGTGTCACTAAAGCTCCAGCATTTCCCAGCCTCTGCTGTTCCTTGTTAGTTTTTCTTTGGATACTTGTTTGGTTGCAGTGGTTTCTGATTCCAGTCATGGGTGCTCTGTAGCCAGGCTTCAGTGTGCTCGGGGAGAGCGAGGGGGGGTTGGTATGCTGCTCCTCGTGGGTCACACACATCTCATGGTGCTTTAAGGAACTCACAGAAACCTCTGCTTCCCCTCTGATGAACTCCTCCTGGATTGCTAGAGAAGGCAGAAAATACAGCTGTTTTCTGTATGATGAGTGCTCCCTGAGGAATGCTCAGAGCTGAGCACAGCCACTCCATGCTTTTTAGTTTTCTTATGACTCCTCCTTAGTCCTCTGTTAGCACATCCTGATCACACTCCTTTTCTTCCACCTGTGGAAGAAAAGACCCCCTTTGGGATGCACTCCCAAAGGTGGCTGGAGTAGGGAGCCTTTCCCCCTGGTCTGTGGGACTGTGGGAGGATATGGATGGCTCTGCTTGTTGTTACCATCCGAGTTAACCTGTGTTCTGACTGTGCTGTCTTGTAGGGGCCTGCCAAGCCAAGCCTTCGAGTACATTCTGTACAACAAGGGGCTCATGGGGGAGGACACATACCCGTATCGGGCTGAGGTATTCCTAGTGCAGCTCAGACGCATTCCTGCTGCGGCAGAGCTGTCTCTAACTCCTGTTCCTTTCTGTCTGCACAGAATGGCACCTGCAAGTTCCAGCCAGAGAAGGCCATTGCATTTGTGAAGGATGTCATCAATATCACACAGGTAAGGCCCTGAGGGCTGGTTTCCAAACCTGCAGGGCTGTGCCAAGCGTGACCTGGAAGGTGCTTGGGTGCCGTGGGACATGCTGGGCCCTGCAGTGTGAGCTGCATGCTGTGTGCTCCTGGGAGAGGAGTGTGCTGCTGGTGTGCACACTGCTCCCCCCCAGCTCCCCTTTCTGAGGGTGGCACTGACCAAGTGGTGGAGCCAAAATACAGGCAATGGGGCTCTGTCCACTTTCCACAGCAGTGTGCCTGCAGGGTCTATGGAAGTCTTGGTTCTTGTCTCTCAATGCAAGCAGAAGGACAGGGTTAGCCTTCCCTGCTGGGCTCTGACCCCTGGTCTGGGGGTCCTGGCTGGTCCCAGTGTGACTGGGAGATCAGTAACTCTGGGATCCTCTTCTCTCAGTATGACGAGGATGGCATGGTGGAAGCTGTGGGGAAGCACAACCCGGTGAGCTTTGCCTTTGAGGTGACGAGTAACTTCATGCACTACAGGAAAGGAGTCTACTCCAAGTGAGTGTTTATGCACCTGGGAGGTGAGGGGAAGGTGTAGGCCTGGAATCTCTTCACATCCCCGTTTCTCCTGCTTTGCAGCACCAGCTGCAGGGACACTGAGCTGTTTAAAAGAAAACAGAAAGCAGAAGTAAATTGAGCCCTGATACACTGCTTTTCCGGGGGATGAGGGAGTGGTGCCTGCAGCCAGGTTACTGCTAGGAACCAGTCCAGCCTGAAGGCCGGGCTGTGTTTGCACTGAAGGTCAGGAAGGCAAAGAGCTGGGACCTGCCACAGGGCTTGATCAGCCTGGGCCAGGGCAGTGTCTGTGTAACCGAGCTGTGGCTGGTGCAGGCTCAGCCCAGGCGCTGCAGCAGATCTCTGGTAAAAAGAGCAGAGGTACAAGTGCGTCTGAGACACGAGGTGACTGTTCCTGTCCCGTTCCCTGCAGCCCACGGTGTGAGCACACCCCGGACAAGGTGAACCACGCCGTCCTCGCTGTGGGGTATGGAGAAGAAAACGGGACCCCTTACTGGATTGTGAAGAACTCCTGGGGCCCGCTGTGGGGCATGGAGGGGTAAGGAGCTCCCACCGCAGCCTGTGCCTGGTGAAAGGACCAGAGTGTGAGATTTCACCTGCCTGCATGAGCCCAAGGTTGCCCCTTAGGCTCTCGAGCTGGAATTTCACAGTGTATTCTCTGGGAGGACCAAGGGAATCATCCCAGCCTCAGGAGCAAAGGGGATAGAGCTCTACAGTCAGTCCTGGGAGGGGGGGGGGCTGGTTGGAGCAGACCCTCAGATTGATGTACCCACTGTTGTCCCCAGGGGTTCGGCTGTACCAGAGTTGTAGTGCCACTGGTTTGCCTGGTGACAGCCAAACACCATGTCCCTTCCGTGCTTTACAAACAGGTTGTGCTGGGAGCGAGTTTCTGCTCGGCTCCACAGGTATTTCCAGCTGCAAGTGAAATGTTTTAGTCAGGTGCTAACTCTGCTGGTTTGTGCTACAAGGGACACAGGGGATAGCAACACTTGGTTAACTACCAATAGGAACAGCTCTGTCACAGGTATTTCAATCCTCCTTGTTCTGGCATGAGAAATGAGCTTGGACATTGAGAGCAGTTGCATCACACCGCCTGTTTACTGACTGCCAGAGGAGGGAACACTCACAAACGGTTCCTTCTCTTTTTAGGTACTTCCTCATTGAACGTGGCAAGAATATGTGTGGCCTCGCTGCTTGTGCATCTTACCCAGTCCCTCAGGTGTAAGAGGAGAGCACAGGCTGGAGAAGAGGGCCCAGGAAAAGGAATGAGTGCTTGGCTCTGACTTTGAGCACTGCAATCAGGACCCTGAGAGCACAATGAAGCACCCGTTGTTACCACGGGCACCCTCCTCGGCTTGCACACAGCTCCCAGCAGCGGGAGCCTCCCCTCCCCAGCCAAACTCAAGCTGCTCCTGAGTTCCACACCAGCCTCTCCCCCTGGCTGCACTGTGCTGGTGGCACCGGGGGCTCTGCGACAGCGGGAATGCTTCCTCGTTACCTTGTGTACCATTAACTAGGGCCCAGCAGCGCTCCCCCTTCCTGCGGGTGCCGCTTCCCCAGCACCAGGTGTAACCCGTGGACAGCTTTTAATTTGGAGGTGATTTCTCCTTCCTGCAGAGGGAGCAGAGCTGTGATTTGTACATTTTATCTGTTCAGTAAATCTTTCTAGTATTTTTTTAATTAAAAGCCGGGTATTTTAATGCTAACACGCGCATGATTTTCTTCTCAATCAGGGGAAAAAGCAAGCAGCTTATCGCTGCTGGTTTATAAGCGCCGGGGAAGGAGCCCCGGTCAGCAGCGCGCTGCTGTTGTGTTACCCCACGCTAACCCTGCCCTGCGCCGGTGCGGGGCGCGCTCTCCGCGGGTGCGGGGGGCAGGGACCGGCGCGGCTCCTGCGAGCGCTGGGGGTGCGGGAGCGCTCAACCCCGCGGGCCGCAAGCGGCGTTTGCGAACGGCCTTAACGCGAACGGCCTTAACGCGCCCGCCGCCGCGCAACGAGGCCGGAAGCGCGGTGCGTCACTTCCGCTCCGGCGCGCCTACCCAATGGCGGCGTGCAGGCCGCGTTTTGGCGCGGAGTGCGAACGCTGACGGGGCTGCCCCCGGCGCACAGGGCGCCCCCCATGGCGGCCCCGCCGCACAACAACCTCCGGGAGCAGCTGCGGCGCCACTCGGCCCGCGGCGCCCTCAGCGCGGCCCCGCCGCGGCCCCGGCCCGCGTGAGTACCGCGGGGGGACGGCGGGGCCGCCGTGGCGGGGCCGGGCCGCGCTGCGCTCACCGCGCTGCTCTCTCCGCAGGGGCTTCACCTTCAGGAAGACCTCCCCGGCGGGCGGCCCGGCCCGGGCCCCGCGGGCGCTCCCCGCCGCGCTGCGGGACAAGGACGTGAACACCTCGCTGCCCGCGCTCGCGCCGGCCGGCAGGACCGCCCCCATCCCGGGTGTCCTCCCGGCGGCCCGCGGCAGGGAGCGGGAGCCGGCCCGGGGCGTGCCCGCGGGCGGCCCCGTCATCACCATCGAGGACGAGTGGGACGACATCGACGACTTCGATTTGTCCGCGGTCGAGAAGAGGCACTGCCGGGGGCCGCCGCTGGCCCCCCCGGGGAGAGCCCCCTGCCCGGCGGAGGACGCGGGGCCTCGGGCCTCCCCGGGGGCTGAGCCGGAGCCCTCGTCCCCGCAGTCGCTCATCTGCGTGGAGGACGCGGGGCCCTGCGGCAGCGAGGGTCTGTGGGAGGATGCGGCTGTGGAGGCCGCTCTGGAAGCGGGCGGGCAGGAGGCTCCCCCAGGTAACGCCTCCTTTTCATGCACCCCCAGGGGATAACGCGTTCGTGTCTGGGGCAGGGGCTTGGGTCCTCAGCGGGGAGCTGCCCGCTCGTGGCCCGCAGCGGCCCTTGGGTGACCGCAGGCTGTGCGGGCAGGGCTGCGGGCTGCAGTGTGTGCGCTCCGTGCCGCCGGGCCGGCTTTAAGACCTCCCGTATGGCGTTCCAGAAGCGAGCAGTGATCATCTCCAGATCAGAGACTCGCTACAGAGAGAGAAGCGCTTTTAAAATTCATGCAAGAGACATAAAATCGCCTTATACTTGGCTGTTATTCTTTCACTGTTCAGCTGCGGTTTTGTTCATACCAGAACGAGTGTACTGGGTTACACAGCAATATTACTGCACTTTCAGCTCCTGCTGGTACAAGTGAAGGCAGCCAGAAGCCAAGCCGCGATGAGACCAGCTCCCCCGAGCTGGATGAGGCCGAGCTCACGGCGCTCACGGGTGCTGAGCTCGGGGAGGACGATGACCTGGACGTGATTCCCCCCTCCCCTGAGGAAGAACTGCTGAGCTTCTCCCCTTCTGTGAAGAGCTTCAGGTGAAACACAGCTCATGGGTAAAGGTGTCTGTGGGGTGGTTTTAAAAGCACCGAAAAGGGTATGAAAGTAGTGCTTGTGGAAGAGTCACCGGCTGAGCTGCTTGAGTCTGTTCCCACAGTGTCTGTGAATGGCTTATGAAATACTTCTCTTTACAGCTGATGTTTAAGGTGGTTTTGTTTCAGGAAAAGCAGAGTTGTTTTTCCTTTTGTAGTGGGAGGGGAAAGCCATTACTGAAGTGAGTGGTCACCCTGGCACACACATGGGTGACACTGCTCAGGTGCTTGGGTTTTAACTAGGGGTTAACTGGGGCTTCAGAAAGGTCTTGGTCTTTTCACTTGGTCTTCAGTGCTGTTCTAAAAGGTCAACTTCTCTCATGGCAATGCCTTGATAACAGATACCTGTGTTTTAGTGACTTCTTTTGATCTTAGTAGCGTTTGCAAAGAGTCTCCCACTGATGGAAGATCCACAGCGGGCAGCGTTGCAGCCAAGCCTGGGACTGCTGCCACAACGCAGCCTGTTGCTGGGAGGGACCCTGGAGTGGAGGGTGCAGGTACGTGAAACCTTTGGAATTCTGTGTCCTAGATTTTGGGGTGGTTTGTAAGTGACTGTGCTCCTCTCTGTGCTGTGTCATTTCTTCTGGAAGTAAGTTTGAAAGAACTGTGGCAAGGTTGGAAAACGAATATAGACGGATAATGCAAAGGCAAAGATGTGTAGATGAGGTGGGTTCATGCACACAGAAACAGTTTCTGTATGCAAATGGACTCTAAAAAATATTTGGAATTGCTTAGACTCGTTTATTGCAATTTACTGTCTTTTGGGAGAGTGCATCACCTTATTACATATTGGAGTATTGCTGTCTGCTGAAATCCCTCTATCCAGCAGATAAAGGCTTGCCTCTGGAACAGCAGCTCTACGGTGTCATGGAGGAGATCTGTAAGCTGGTAGAGACCATTCCACTCCATGAGCTCAAGTCTCTGTCGTGTGCTAAAGACCTTCTCCAGCAGCGAGACCTCAGGTAGGCTCCAGTGAGCTTGGGCTGCTGGTTGCTGAGCGGTGCCTGCCTGCAGGTGTCCCCAGCGCACCGACCACAGGGCAGGAGGAGCTCTGAAAGGCTTAAAATCACTGAGCGACTGAAGGGGAAAACATACCCCAGCCTGCTGGAAGTGTTGTCAGTGCCCACGTTCTGCTGGAAGAGAGGAGCTGCTTCCATGTCCAGTCTGAGCAGGGGGTGTGCTGTACCCCTTCTCTGGAGGTGACCTGCACCCCTGCTTCCAGAGCAGCAGGGTGAGATGACAGAACCTGCTCAGCGCTCTCATAACCAGATACATTAATGTAATATCCTCTCTCTCAGACTCGCCGTCACTGGCTACAGTGATTGACTCCTCCTAATATCCACGTGCTTGTCACCTTTCAACCTGGTTACTGATACTGCGTCTGCTGCTTTACTTCTGCAGTATCTGATGACACAACACATAGATAAAATACAGAGATTGTGGTTTTTACTGGACTGCAGCTATGTGCCTTTTCTGAGCATTTTCAGTAAAACTAGTTTATTCTATTTCCTTTTATTACCACAGTCAAACACAGCTGTTAGAAAGTATAGAAATCCATAGTCTGGTTCAAGCATATTTTTGTTTTATTAACTTCAGGTTTGTGCCTCAAAGGATTGTGGTTTTCAGTGCTCTATCCTGCCTGGCCAGCCCCATTCCTTTGGGGATTTCTTTCCTTTTACACTTGCAGAGGAGATGTAGTAATCTTGTAATTAGTTTGCTTACCTCAGCTCTGGTGGAATTTTCTCTTCTCTGGATTTGCTTGAAGTGTTTTTAAAATACAGAGACACAGAATCCAAAGTAACCATCATATGGTAATATTTTGAATAGGAGAGAGACAAAACTGATTAATGTATGTTGTAGAACTTGGTAAGTCATCGCTTGTGACTAAATACCTCCTTTTCTCTCTTCTTCCTTCCCTTGACATCTCTCCCAGGAGAAAACTGCTCGCTAGTTCTGTTGCTTTGAGCAAAAGTAGCTTCAACAGCAGCTTTCCCAGAGCCTGGCAGGCGCCTGTGGAGCGGGGCTCCCCTACATGTCCTGGTGCTGCACCATGTCCTGGCCCCAGCTGGAGCTTCAGTTCTGACAGAAACTCTCCCAGAGCCACAAACCCCCCTTCCTTGGTGCTGGATTCTGTTCATTCAAGCAAGTTTTCTACCCCCCAAAGTCAAACCTTGGATACCTCTTGTGCTTCAAAGCAAAGCGGTGAGGAGATCACCTCCCCGGGCACCACGGCACCGTCTTCCTCCAAGGTGAATGATGCAGGGAGAGCTTCCCTCAGCCTCCATCCTGAGGTGGCCCTCAGCGGGGCGAGGAACAGTGAAATCCACCCTCTGCCGCAGAGGCCTCTTGCAAGCACAGCTCCAAAAGGACAGAGCAAGGCTCCCATTGGCATTCCTGCAGAAGACACTTCAGGTATAAATGGTGCTGACTTTGACCTGGACCCCTTTGTTATTGATGATTTTGATGAGGACTGGGAGGATGTGGTGGATGTTTCGGCACCAGAGGGGCAGTCCACACCCCTGTACCAGCCCATCAGGGAAGGGCCACCAGCCAAATCACTGCTCGCAAAGGTAATGTCCAAGGCCAAGGGATCTGCTGCTGTACCAAATCCTGCTGCTTCCAAGTCAAGCTCCTTGATGACAACAAAGAACTGTTCAGGTAGGTTATGTGTGTTGGGGTGACTTTCTTTCCCTTTTTGGATCTGGATGCACTTGATTTACTAAGGCCAAGTAACTGCCTGTAGGTTACATCGATGCCTTTTGTTTCTGTGGACATTTCTCTTGGTTTCTTTTTGCAAAGTCATCTTCTCTGTGAGGTTTTTGCCTCCAAGTGATGCCAAACTTCCTGAATACCCATTGGCCATGCAGGTTGCAGGCTGCTGGGAAGGTGAAGCTGCTGAAACTGGAAACTAGCATGTTCCTGTGTTCTGATTAAGGAACGATCCTGCAGTTGTTCATTCAAAACTGTACAACAGCTTTAGCTGCTTATGCAAAATGTTCAGAAATGGGCACTTGCTGAAGGCAGCCTGATCCCCCTGGGGGACAGGGGTGGGTCAGTGTTACTTGCGGTTGCCGCAGGGGTGGGTTGGTAAAAGGGAGGTGAAAACATTAACCCATTTTACCAGCTTCTCTGTCACTTATCCAGCTGGCACCCACCCTTGGGTAGCCACTTCTTAGCAGTCATGATTTGAGTTTAAAAGGTTTCAAGGGTGGAAGTGGTGGCAAAGTCATCTGTTATCAAAGGATGGTTTGTGTTGGAAGGGACCTTAAAGCTCACCCAGCTCCAACCCCTGCCACGGGCAG